AGTGTATTCATTAATTTTCATTTTCATGTAGTAAAGGCTCTATGCCTTCATAAAGGACGTACTTTTCCTTTGTTTAAGGGTATTTGGGCAGTTTATTCTCTGTTATATTCTCAAGTAAACAATACATACAAGTACAGTACAGTATTTTCTGAGGAAACACTCGTACTTATTTTTTTTTAACCCCATTCCCGATAACCCGGCATTTTCACAAACTCGGCCACCCTTCGGTCCACATTAGGCCGAGTTTTCGAGGTTCTACTGTATTTCAATATTAGTTGGAGAACTAAATTCTTCAAACAATTTTCTTAGGAGGACCTTCTTGTTTGTTTTTGTTGTAGAGAGATTATATCCTAAAACACAAAACAAGTATTCAAACTAAAAAAAAAAAAAAAACGATTTATAACCAAATTCTGTTTCTTCCTTCTCATTTGTAACAAAAACAAAATCATTACTTACTTTTAATGATCAGAAAACTCATCACAAATTGGATAAGAGTATGTAAAAAATTCAAATTTATGGGGTTCTGGAAGAAAAGAATTGGCCTGCTTCAAGCCAATTCTTTTCTTCCAGAACCCTCTAAATTAATTACAAAAATATTAATTTAATTAAAATTGTTAAATTTAGCAAGAGGGAGGCACAATTATAACTATTATTATTAATTAAATTCCAAATATTGTGATTGTGTAACCAAAATTATTACAAACAAAAGAATTTTAAACTACTTTCATGATCATATGGACTAATGAATCCAGCATCATCATTTGTTTAATAATATTAAATTCAGACTTGGTTTTTACTGTGTCAAAACTTAGTTTATTTAGAGTCAAAACACAAAAATCTTTTCCAATTAATAAAAGTAATTTCAAAGTAAACTGTAAAACTTTGTCTGTAATTTAATTGAAAATGAATATAATTAGAGATGAAATAATTTTTATTAAATAAAAAAATTTTCTTTTTACGAGTTATGATTCTCATGAACATTATCTAATGGCATTTATTTATATATGTGAAATATATATAGGGAGATTATTATACAATATATAATGTGACATTTATACATATACACTGTAATTAATTGTCTTTGTATGGATAAACAAACTTACTATTTGAAATAGATAATTTAAAAATATATTAAGTCTATTGTACAAAACATAAATAAATAATGTAATTTTCATTTGATACAATTTATCATGTGTTTACTTAAAATATTTTACAGTTTCAGGTAGATTTTAATTTTACTAATGAAATACATCAAATTAAATAAAATATTTAAATTTGTAACCCAGTTATAAAATGATCTTGGCTTACTTTAATTTGATTAGGAATTTCATTTCCATTTAATCCACTTAAACAAAAATTTCTTTAATCCTCAAGTGATTCCATAAATTATATATGTAATCCCATACAATTCATTTATAAGTCCTGTTTAATCAAATGGTTTATAAATATAATTATTTTAATAATTGTTCATATTAAAATGTTTTTGCTATTGAAACAACTCTTGACTTCTTTAGTTAGCAATAGAATAAACATCAAAAGTCAGGCTTTAGATCAGTGTTTCTCAACCTCTAACGAATCGTCGCCCCCTTCAAAGTAGTATCGCCCCCTTCAATAAAACCGTTACCTATTATCGCCCCCTTCAATAAAACCGTTACCTATTATCACCCCCTTCACTTCAAAATTCCGATGCCAAGCACTAAGACTAACGCCAAATTCGTACTGCATTGAATAGACTAGTGACTAGTATAATGTTATTTGTTTAATTATTGTATGATATAAGGAATAAAATATCTAATTATTCTTAATATAATGTTTTACTATATCACCCAGAAAATTGTTTTTTGCCCCCAAAATATAAATTGTTACTAATCGCCCCCTCAACATGGAAAAACGCCCACATGGGGGTGATATCGCCCCCCCATGTGCTTTGTGCCCCCATGTGAAACACTGCTTTAGATAATACTTCTATGCATCCACTCAATTTCTTCCTGTATTTCAATTTTAATTATTTAAATTATTTTTTGAGATTTCTAAATTAAAACTGCATTTTTTAAATTTTAATCTATAAATCATAAATTTTAATTTAAATATTCTACTATTCTGTACACGATAAATATTCATAGTTAAAATTCATCTATTTTTACCTTTTGCAGAAAGAATAATTCATTCAAACACCTTCAAAGTTGTTAAATATTTATGAATGAGATGGAATAACAGAAAAGGTGAATATAAAGAAAAGACCAATTTACTATCATTATCATCAAACCTGTTTCATAGAGCTAACATGTTTTTACTACAATATAGTGATGGACAGCACGCTAATCATTTATTAGCGTGCTGTCCATCACTATATTGTAAAAGTTTTTTGCAATGTTTTTACTACATTTCACCAAGTTTCACCTACCAATATAATATCCAAAGCCATGTTTCTCAAAAGATAAAATTAACAATTCAAAAACATTATCAAAAAAACTCAAAGAAAATAGTAATATGCTATAGAAATCAACTAATTAATGTGATATATAAATTCAGAATAAAATACATATGCACAAAATGTACGTATCCACCACTATTGTTATTTTCTAAATTGATCTTATCATTCCAATTCTTTAACAATATAAACATGTTTATATGATTGTTAATAAAAGTGTAAGATTGAAAGAATGTATCATACAGCAACACACAACGAAGATAGATACACAGGCTTTATTAATTCAGGCATTTCAGACAATATAGTCCTCATCAGTCCTCTTTATTTTACATGTTTATATGACAATATTCTTTGAGGAGTATTCCTGTATATATCATTATTCATTTGCTTTCAATATGTTTCATAGTCAATTTGACAGATGAACAATTCTTAAATTTTAATTGCATTTGCCCAATTTGAATTCTGATAATTTTTAGCCATAGTTTTATTTTTAATGTAAACATCTTTCGCAAACTGCTATGGTATATAACAGAATATGATGTTTTAAGATTGTAAGAAATTACATATAATTTGAAAAACAATATTGAGTGTTTTCTTCTAGAAGAATTTTTATTGTTAAAGTTTCAAAAATCTGTAACTTTTCTAATAATTCTTCCAAAAAGAATATAAGTTGATGCATGGCAGAAATCACATTATAAGATATTGAAAAAATAGATTTGATGTAAAATGTTTTTTGGATAGATCCAACAACATACGTGTGCATTTTTGGTTAAAAAGAGGCATATTTTTCTTCTAATAATCATCAATGGTAGCCCTAGGATTATGAGGCCCAAGATAGAATTTATTTTTGAGGCCCATTAAAACAGCAATGGAGATATAGGGTAGATTGTTTCAGTTTACAACAATATGAACATTCTTAATACAGAAACAAACAGTAAAACAAAATAAAATACAATAGTTTTACTACAAATTGGAAAATTCAATAGGTGTACAGAAATGTATAGAAAACTGACTCCTGCTTAAGTGGGAGTCAGAAAACTGACTCACACTTAATGTGCAGCAATATCTCTTTCAACAAACAAGATCAAAAGTGATGTCCCTTTTGACACAATGTTGATTAGAGGTAGTTCTTGATCAATTTTAACTTTAAAAAATGATTGTTCTGTAGGTGCAACAGATATTTGTACAAGCGTATTTTCAATAATTACTAATCTGATGATTTAACTACTAAAATATACTACCAAATTTGTGAAGCCCCAGAAACCATGAGATCCAATGTATTACATTTTTTTTTTTGTCTTTATGTAGAACTACCTCTGCCCTTCTTTTGTACATCTCTGATTTAATGATATTTTTTTAATTGATTTTCTTTTCTACCATTTTTAATACCATTTTTATAAACTTATTAATTTTAAGAATACTTTGTTAATTCTAATAACACTTATAGAAACACTGAAATATGTGAACTTTGAATACGAATACACTTGACATTTAGCTTCATACAACTACAAATTACTGTATCACTATAACACTTATGTGCAGTGGCATTACAGGAGTGGAATCTCGGACTTGGAACTCATCCGGCTTCCACTCCTGTAACGCCACTGCACGTAAGTGTTATAGTGATACAGTAAATGTCGGCATGAAGTGCAAACATATTATACAAATTTCTGAAATTTAATGTTAGAATGTATTACCGTGTTTCCCTGAAAATAAGACAGTGTCTTATATTAATTTTTGCTCTGAAAAATGCGCTAGGTCTTATTTTCAGGGGGAGGTCTTATTTTTTCCAGGAAGAAGAATTCACATTTATTATTGAACAAAAAAATTCCCAAGTTGAACTTAGACAAGAGTGACGTATATCCGGTGTGTCAAACTGTCGCCTTTTTATAGCGTCAACATCGGACTCGCTGACCAATTAGTGCTTACTGAACCGTAGCACTATGCAAATGTCNTATATCTATAAAGTATTGCTTTCAGTATGACATTCTTATAAATAAATAAATTATATACAAAGTGAATAAATGAAATCTCAATTTTCTTCTTTAACATATACAATATAAAAGAAAGGCTTCCCTATGACCAATAAAAATTATTATTGTTACTTTTTCACAATACAAACTTGTTAAACCAATAAAATTCTTATAAATATCATATAGACTGAGTCCACAGAAAAGAGCAATTTGTTTTCTGTTATGAGCATCAATCTTATTTTCTTTGTATGTGTTTATATTTTGGTATACAGATGATAACTGAGAACACAGAGATGATAATGTTTATATAACAAAAAGCATTAAGATTGTGTCAGTATTCGATATTCTTTCAAATAATTTCATTGCTTCCTCTCACTAATTAGCAATCCCTGAGAGAATATACAGTCATCATTAGCAAGACATCTCTTATTTATGAGGTATTAATTTACCCTCTTAAGTTAGAGATAAGGAATTATTAAGGCTTATCACTTCTGCACTATAAGATTTGTTGGAGAAGATGGAATTTTTTTTCTTTTTCTATAAATAAATCCATTCTTTTAGAACCAGATCAAATGAAATTCCAATAATATAAGAAAGAAAAAGATATTTACCCATTTAAATGTTTTTAAGAAATATTTTCAAATAGTTTTAATTGTTGTGGACGATATAATTCTTCTCCAAATCTCAGCCCTAACTTTTATTTAGATTTTTCAAAAAACAGCGTATGTTTCATAATGACAATGGACTTTTTGTCATTGGTTTTGTTATTATTGGTGTTGTTTGTTTTTTTGTTGTTGTTGTTGTTTTTGAGTATTTTCATTGAATGTGAGATTATATTTTATTTCATTTCATTTCAATTTTTTAAATTATAATGCTCTGTTTGGAATTCTAATGTTTTTTTTTTGTTCCATTTTCTGTTAGCATTTATAAATTGCTCAATTTCTAATTACTAAACCTGACAAAGGATCAAAAACTTTAGTTTAATAAAGATTTGTGCTGCTTTACAAGGTTGTATGTGATGAATTTCATAATATGCTCTTTTACAAATGCTCCAGAAAGCATACGCATACAAATAAAATTTGTAAATTAAATAGTGATCAAGAAATATATGTTTACTATTTCTTCTAACATTAATTTTCATTGAAATATTTTTAACATATTATTAAAGTTCTAAAAAAAATATGAAAGGATATTTCCACTCTACTATGTCTATACAGAGTTTCCTAATTGGATTTTTTAACGTTAAACAGAATAAAGCCCTGAGAGGTCTTTCTACTACTTTAGGTCCTTTTCTAGCAGGTTTCTTCTTTTCTTTTTCTTGTTGATTTGTGGTTGCTTCAGGAGGACTCGCTCCCGCAGTCGGGGGTGGTTTTTCTGTACCTGCAACTGTAGTTTCTGTTTCCTGTACCGAAAGCTGACCTGGACCTGATGGAATTGTGGATGAAGGAGAAGATGGATGTAGGGAATTTGGTTCCTTCTCTGTTGGAATTTTATCTGCTTGGCAATTCTGAACATTGTGATCATCTGTTTAAAAATAAAAACAAAGTGCAAAACCAACTAAAAAACTGAACTATAGATGTACAGTAAGACTTTTCTGGATTTTCCAGGAAACTTCTGGAATTTTTGGCAAAAATTTTTAAATTCTCCAACTTTTATTCTCCTGCCTCCTATATTTACTTGGCAAAACAATTAACTTTTGAAGTATACATTAAAGTGGACTAAATAACATATGATAGCATATTTTGACATTGCTGAGAGTGAAAAAATGTATTCTCTTCATCAATTCATATCTTTTCCATAGAAAACTATAGTTTACCATTAAATATTAATTAAATTAATGAATTAAATTTCTAAATTAAACTAAAATTTGTAAAAATTTATAGTCAGTACGAAAACCATAATTTTTAGATCAAAATCTAAAAGATATAAACAAAGTGTTTAGTTATTAACTAAAAAATCATTTTCAGTTTACTTTTTTTGGGGTAAAATGAGGTGGAGTAAAAGCAGGAGAATGGTAAAATATTAATCATTTTTAGTGTCCTTCATTCTAGCAGCACAAATCTGACAACCCAATTTGTAATTCATTACATAATTTAATGAAGTAACACAATTCATAAAAATGAACTGCATATTTTAAAATCATTTCAATGAATAAAATTTATTAAGCTGAAGAATCTAAATACCATCAATTAGACACAATATCATGCATTAATTCTTATTGTTAGTGATAGTTATCTTATCAGTAGATCAGAATTCCATATATTTTTCAAGATGTAATGATTCTGACAGATAAAATGAATAAAATTCTTTATTTAGTGTAACAATGATTTATTAAAGGATGCAAAGTTTAACATGATTTAATAAAACATATTAAAATGTATATCTATAAAGTATTGCTTTCAGTATGACATTCTTATAAATAAATAAATTATATACAAAGTGAATAAATGAAATCTCAATTTTCTTCTTTAACATATACAATATAAAAGAAAGGCTTCCCTATGACCAATAAAAATTATTATTGTTACTTTTTCACAATACAAACTTGTTAAACAAATAAAATTCTTATAAATATCATATAGACTGAGTCCACAGAAAAGAGCAATTTGTTTTCTGTTATGAGCATCAATCTTATTTTCTTTGTATGTGTTTATATTTTGGTATACAGATGATAACTGAGAACACAGAGATGATAATGTTTATATAACAAAAAGCATTAAGATTGTGTCAGTNAAAGTTAGAGAAAATTTAGCGAAAAGTTAGTAATCATATATTATGGATTTAAAAAAAAATGTTATAGGAGAAACCATTACAATAAACCGGTACCATAAACTATTTTGTTAGAATAAAAAAATGGGCATTAACCTTGGTGTCAACAAATCTTCCTTAAATCGTAAAAAAATATAGGCGATAAAATTAAATTAATTCGTATAAAAATCATTTTCCAGTCACCGAACCCGGAGTGCTGGCACAAAGCCAGAGTAAATATAATGGCCACCCGGATAGCCAACTTAATACTCTTCTTATTCAAATTTAATTTCGAGTCTATTATAATCGCGTAAATAAATATTTTAGAGATTACTTAATCTCCAGAACAAGAAACTAGACACCCAAGAGAGACATATTCAAGTCGGCAATATAATTATAACAAAAAAACTCCTAATGCGAGACGATCCAACAGGAAATTACGTAACTAGATGGTAACGGATATGAGAAAATTCGAATGGGTTATACTACGAGGCAGCGTTGCCACTAGATCGCTGCAATATCCTGTTCGAGAGTAGCAAATTTGCCCCCAATTCTTGCCACGATTCGCCTCCGAAAAAATCCACAGAAATCTTATCCATCCGTAAGCCAGTAATCCCTTGTGCGAAAAGGGCAATAGCCTGGAGAATCCCCATCAACAGGGGACCCCAAACTAATCTTTTATAAGAAAATATTTCCCTAAAAAATTCCCTTAAAGAAAAATGTCTGAAGTCAACACTATACGTGGGACCCCCTAATTCAAATCTGCCTGGGCCCCATAAAGCTATAACGCGCTAGTGTGTTACGCACGCCTCTGAAAGTAAACAAAGCCGGGCTTAAGTACTCTTTCTGGTTTAATTGCGCTTAGAATGCTATTCTTATGCAAATCCTGAAATCTAACGAGTTATTCCATCATGTGCAGTACTTAATTGAAAAGATTTTTTTAAATTTTATAGTGTTTCCTCCAATTTAATTTAAAGAATGGTTTAAAATATATCTGCAAAACACTCGCACTTTTTCCAAAAGGAGCCAGATTTTTCGACATATGGCAACTTTTGAAAAAAGTTTGTACAGTAGACCCCCTATAACACTGTACATAATTCCGTGTTATATGAATTCCACGTTGTACGAGTCACTTAGATTTTACATATACGTGAGCCGTTCACAGCCCGGTACACGTATTTGTAAAATCTAAGTGACTCGTACAACATGGAATTCATATAACACGAAATTATCTACAGTGTTATAGGGGGTCTACTGCAGTTTCACACAAGAAACTAAAAATTTCCGCTAGAATTCATTATTGAATGTACTATTCTACACAAATATATGAGGTATCTTTTTTATTATTATTATTGTTTTATCTGTTTAAACATTAAAAACATGAATATTAATGAAGGGTAAAGATTGAAATTCTGAATTTACTGTACATCTTAGAATTATCTTACAAATGGAAAAATAACTTGCCTGAAAGTCATTTGTTCCATAAATTATTAACTAAATCTTCGACTGTATTAGATCTTACTTGTACATTTTTTGTAGTATAATAAATTTGCGTTTATAAAATTGAAAATTCAATAATTCAGAAGAGTTTAAACATGAACATTTGATTTAAGAATATAAAATCCTTATCGAAATTCCATTTAATAAATTAAAAAATAATTATATTTCAAGAAATTAATTTTTTATCATGAAACAAACCACAATAAACAAATTTCGCTTGAAGATACCATATATTAATATACAGTAGACCCCTATAACACTGTTGATAATTCCGTGTTATATGAATTCCATGTTGTACGAGTCACTTAGATTTTACAAATGCGTGTGCCGGGCTGTGAACGGCTCACGTATTTGTAAAATCTAACTGACTCGTTCAACATGAAATTCATATAACACAGAATTATCTGTAGTGTTATAGGGGGTCTACTGCATTTATTTTTCATAAATAATTTTTTTTAATTTTAAATGTTCATATTTTTACACAATTTTTATCTTAATAGATGCGGGTCCACCAATCACAAATTAAAAATTACTTGTTATATTTATAAATAATACAGTTAATTTTTAAAATTATAAACTAATGAGTATTATGTATACTTATTATGTGAAGTGCATCATCTTTCAAAGCATAAAATGCAGAAAAATTACAAAAAAATCTAGCAACGAGAGTTACGTAACTTTCCCGGTTGTTGAGAGTTTTTACTTAAGAAAAAACTTTTATATTATTAAGAAAAAATAAAATTGTCTGTGGCGCCATCTGTTATCATATTTTTTATAAAAACATTTTATATTTTTAATTACTATAAAATAGCAAAAAAAAACCACTTAATTTTGAGGGTAGGGGTGAATTTTCTAAAAGAGTGTGAATTTTAATAACGAATAAAATCGCCATAAGTTCTACCCCTCTCGAGATACATGACCCCCTAACTCCCCATCCTTTCGACCTTTCACCACCAAAATTTAATAACATCAATACCCCTCATATACAAGCCACCAAACCAAATTTCGTTTCATAATCTTAAGATATATCTCAAGATCCCCATCCTGAGATATTAATTAAGCGAAATAGACGCCAACACACACACATTCACATGTTTTGACTTTTTTTGGATTCAGGACTCAAAACATGGAGATTTGCAAAGAACTCTTCGGGTCAAATTTGACACGATTCCCATACATAACAGCCGGGAAAGTAAAAACTTAAATACGAGTACAACGTAGGTAATAAAAGAAATTTTAATTTGGACTTTGTTAATGTTAACTTTAGAACTGAACTGTCCATATCATGGGCCCATGAAAAATCTGGGGTTCTCGGCCGGAAACTAATACAGTTCGAGAACCCCAGAATTTTTCATGATTTCCTTGATTAAATTTAAAAGGACATGTTAAAACAATTAAAAATGTATACCTTATATAATATGTATTAACTCATTGCTTGTCTCCTACTAATTTGAAATTTCTGGCTAACGGTAATGGTAGCGATTGCACGTTATCAGGCATTATATGTTGAGGCATAAAACACAAGCGGTCTTTTTAGGCTTATTTATTCGAAGATGATGATGATAATAATAATAATAATAGAATTCTGATTGAAATGAGCGAATTTTTATAACGCATGTTTGGGGACGTATTAATTTTGATATCATTAAACCATTGATCACATTATCTGTGGTGCAATAAGCGAAGTCTACTGTATTAAATATCAGCTTAAAATTTCTTACAAATATTGTGTTTCATCCATGCATTATTGCAATGACATTAACAGTATGTTGCTAGTATGACTTAGCGAAAACCATGCTCGTTAAATCGACCATCGAGTTATCCACTTTATGGTCCACTTGATTTTAACTTTCAAGTGGGTCGTTCAAAGTATTAACTAGATAGCTGTAGAATTAAGAATTCTTTGGCTTTAAAACAAAAGTAAGTGCAAATTTGGGAAAAAATAAAAATTATTTTACTTGTTTGGTTTATTTGTTTTCGGCAATGCGTCACGTGGGCGATTTTCCGATGTGATGCCTTCTGAGAAAACTTTTATGAGAAACTGGGCCTTATTTAGGTATTACAAACGTAAAGAAAACCCGGAAAACTCAACGTGACCAGCACGTTGGCGAGGAGCGAACTGGCAACCGACTAGCAGTCAGTGTTCAGTGGTTTCAATAGCGCGTTATCCTGTGGACAAAAAAGGGCAATTGCCTGGGAGCCCGCAGCAACAGGGAGCCCCAAAACAATCTTTTAAAAGAAAATGTTTTCCTCCAAAAATTCCCCCGAAGAAAAAC